GCAGTGGACAGGCCTTAGGTAGATGAGGAATGTGAGACCACGCAGGTGGTCACTCGTGTCTGAATGATCAGACAAGCTTTGCTCGCCAGGTATCTTTACGTGGGCTTGAGCCTTTTGCTTAAATATAAATATGATTCTCCAGACCCTTCAGATTCTCACAAGGATCAAAGCCCTTTGCTTCCTTCCTGACTTCAACTTCTCAGCAATCATTCCTCAATTCTTAGCTACCATTTCAGAACTTTGAGGATTGGCAGCCCTCCAGAGAAGCCTCTGAAGCAGCTTCTCAATAGATTTTCCTGAAATGCAGACTAGACGTTGGAGTCCCTATTGCGGCCTTCCGGAGCAATCCCCAGCTGGCGAAAGACCTTGTCAACATCGTCGTGAAGGTCGCGAAGGACTTCGCGTGTCTCAATGACAGGTGGGTATGAGGGCAAGCTTTTGTTTTTTCAAATTGGAAAGGCATTTGAAAAGTATTTGCCACGAAGGATTTGCCTGCTTAACTCCCTTGCTCATTGCTGGAGAGTTCGAAAAGCAGAATGGACTTCAGGTTTTGTGAGGCGGTGTCTTATTTCAAAAATGCCATGGGTAGAGGGGAGGGAGCCCTTGACAGAGATTGCATAAAGTCCACGCTTGCTCGGACAGTGAGTCTTAAACCATGAAAAGGTGATACTTGCTTGGTGAAAGGGTTGTAACTATTACATCATCACAAGCAGCTTTCAATCCAGATAATCAAAAAGGTACAATAAGCTAGGAACCCCCTTTCAAACAGGTTTGACCCGATGGTGTGCTCCAACGCGGCCATGGCGATCATGCGCTGCAACATGATGGTCTGCTACCAGCAGAAAGGGCACTACCTGATTGGGCCGGTAAGTAAGACGGCGCATCTTCTTGTGTTGCTTGTTACAGCCTTGACAGTTGAGGCGATGGTTCCAATATCTCACCTTGATGTTGAATCCAAGCTAGGGCGAATGGGACGCTCTCTTGAGTACCATCTTACTTGTTCGCAGTTTTCCAGAGTGTCTCTCCAAGTCTCACCTCCAGGCAAGTTTTGTTCCATGATGAGAGGCTTTGGTTGACACCCTGGAGTATTCGGGTTCTCTCGTCAATCTGGCGGTCTCAGAGTAGAATTGTCATTTGCATTCGACTTCAGGAGGTTCCTTTTGACACCAATCAAAGCCACTATTGCTTACTGCTCTACTTCGATTCCCTTGCGAAGGTATTGCTTGATTTTACGAAAGGTTAAGGTTAAGGAAAGAGAAAGGACAAATCTGTTTCCGCAAGACTCAAGGACCACATGTCGTGCGCCGCCCCCCCCAACTTCCCCCAACTAAGGCGCTAAACCTCCGCACTCTTCTGGCTCCACAGCAGGAGGGCACTAAGAAGTCGAGCGACGTGCACGGCAAATTCTGGACCCCCCCCATCACATCGTGCGAGACTGCAGTGGTGTTGCGGGAGTACCGCTACTCCGTGATGACCGTCTCGGGACCGCTCGCAAAGCACGGAGGCTCCAGGAACAAGCTCTTCTACGGGCCCGCGAGCTGGACGACTAATGGACCTAAAGGGGACAGGAAGTACTTGGAAACGGTGGAGCCTGCGAGACCGAAGCCTGAGCCCCAAGGGGAAAACGGGGAGCGGAAGCGGAAGCGGGAAGGCTGGCAGGACCGGCGCAAGCGCATGATTCTGAGCGGGTCCTACGTGAGCAAGACTCCGAGGCGGGAGGTGGAGTCCCTCACGAGCGAAGTTGACGGCGACTACGTTGGGGAGCGGATTGCGGTAAGAGACGAGGGGAATCTTGAAGAAATACTGATGGGGTGTTGCTTCTCGAAAATGTCGTTCAGTCGGTCCCAGTCTCGTTCTCTTGTTTTGAACCCTTATCTGCAAAAGGGTAAGAGAAGACACCAAGAATTGGGACAAAAGACCCACGAGAGAGCTTTTCGTCTTTTTTTCAAGTGTGAAACATAGAAGGAAGGAATGCTAGACCGTATAGGTCCGCTGAAGGATGAGAAAAATCGTGGATCACATGGGGAAAGAATCCGTCTCTCTTTCTGGAAGATTGGCATCTCGATTTCCACGTTGATCAGAAAGCCGTGCTTCACCTCACTTGCACAGCGAAGTGTTTTTCCTGACTTCTGTTTTTCTCTCCAAGGTCCTCTGGGTGAAGGGATCACATCGAGACGTGAAGACCGACCTCTACTTCTCTGGGGTCGTCCACTCGTACGACTCGAAGGAGGGGACGCACCACATCATCTACGATGACTTCGCTCAGGAAGATGAGCACCTCAACGAGCTCAAGTACATCCTCAACGGCGCTGAAGGAGAGGTCCACGTCGTCGGACCGCAGTGGGCTCCACATTGAGGTGAGCTACGGAACAACAGCCGTGAGCTTATTCCAGCGTTCGCCAGATCACATTGCAGTGTTTGTGGCCCCCTCGAGAGAGCGGAAAGTTCTGCAAGGATAAGTCCTCTTGAATTCTCTCAAGTGGTGCCGAGAGAACTCTGGTGTCGTCAAAGTCCACGACTTTTTCTATGCGTCAAATGGATCCCAAGTGAGTCAGCACCCCTCTAACATACCTGATTTCCTGGCTTGCCAGTCCGTCTTTCGGGAGAGCCGACCCAAGTTCTCGAGCGCCACCGAGCGCTGTGGTTGCCTGCCCAATGCAGCGGTTGGGGGTCCGAACTTGCAAAGGTTTGGGACCTGAATTTTTTTCGGGTCGATTGTACATTACACGCCTCTCTATCTATTGGGGGGACTTAGATGCAGTTTTTCGACTGGCTCGAGATGAGTAAGCGCATGGAAGGTGAAGCGAGCAGTCGTCATGAAACGCTACGGCGTCCTTTAGAGTCGGAACAAGGTCCGGTTGAAGAGAGGAGGCCTCCTAAAGTATCACCCACGAGACAATGACACACATTTGACTAGTGCTTGATCAGACGTGCACAGCATGCTGACCAGGATCGATGAATAATGCTGTCTTGGACAGTCAAGCTTAAGCCCCTGGGCATACCTGACTTTCCAATTAACATCTTGCGTGGAAGGCTTGCAGTCATTCAATTTGAGTCCTGAGAAACACAATGAAGGATTGCAGCATGATGCATTAACAGTGCATCCATAGTCGATGAATAATCCATACTACAAAGCCTGCATATATCCATTTGTCAGCGGCACCCATGGCTGTTTCGTCGCAATGATCGGGAACCGCTGGACTCAGTCCCGAGTTTTGAAAGACTAGGTTAGTAGAAAAACGCATCCATGCAGGAAGTGTCGCACATATCTCAATTGTTTCGCTGGTAGTCTAGCTACATGCATGTTCATCCACTGAGAGTTGTTGCATATGTCATGCAGTCACTGCTGCACGCAAAATACCTGAGATACCCGGAGTGAATCACCGGCGGATGCGTTTTTATTCATGCATGCGACTACCCTTAGTTCAGGTTGCGTGCATACTAATGGTTTGGACGGGCCGAGCAACGCGGTTTTCGCGGTATCTAAAGGGCCTCGCGCTCGCGGCGCATGTTCCGAGTATATGCATGCCCTGATCTTGACAGCTCCATATATGGCGGCCGCCAATGATAGGCCCTCCTGACGAGTTCAAGGGCGCGGCCGCCCGGCCCGCGATCGCCTGTCTATAGAGGACAGGTGGCATTAAAGTGCAGCGGGCTGCTGACAGCAGAGCCCAAGGAAGGGCTGGTGGTCGAATCGACTTGATTGATGTTGGAGGGAAGACAGCTGGTACGCCTCCAGCTAACTTAAGTTACAAGTTACGAGATAGGTGTCAATATTGTCTCTAACGTGGCCGTACTCCAGGGCACTAATATTTGGCTACAAGTGGGCGGACGCTGCAAGGACTGAGCAATTATCATGAGCACAATATGCATGCAATCAAAGTGGCCGCCTTGCAGTACTTCAGCCCGGTAATGGCAACACGTTGCCCTGGCAGCCTCAGTGAGGCGGGTGCACGTGAGCCGCAGAATTGCCAAGTTGCATTTCAGCGCTCAGAGATGAACAGATGCACTGCGCAGCTTACACATGGGTGATGATCTCTGAAAGCCTCGTGCATACCCTTACATCTTATTCCGAGTTGAGTCTGTCCTCAGACTCAGCATGAAACTTCTTGTTCGCAAAAATTTCGTTCAAGTGCTGAAAAGATATGACATACAGTGAGCACTATTACGAAGTTGCTCGCAGGTCATCAACTGGCAGGACGCAGACTCTTGGTCTCCTTCGCGAGCCCTGCTCTGCACAAAGACTTGCAAATCGAGTGCTCTGCCCAACCCTTTCTGTTATACAATTATCCCAGACACTTCTTAGCCAAAGGTGAACCAAAGGTGAATCAGCGCAATATGGTCTTCTACCAATCAAAGAACCCGGGGCCGGCATTTTTCAGCAGCTCCTCGCCGGCGTCTTTCGCCAGTGCAACCATATCCTCGTATGTGTATTCGCCTTCTCTGCTGGTCGGAGTACTGCAAAGGATCGTAACCAAGACTGAGATCCTCGGCAGAACGCAAAATACAAGGGACAACAAGTGGTGGTCATGAGAAGATCAAACGCCACAAACAAGACGCCTCCGAAGAGAACGCAGCAGGCACTTCGTTTGAACCGATGAAAGGGACGCATGTGGCTGAGCCTTAAGAGTGTATGGGACCTTTTGCGAGAGGTAAGGTGGTGTGGATGAGAAGAGCGACCAGAGAACCCATTCGTTCAAACAACGAAGGTGCTCCGAATTGCAAGGGCGTCCTTTCTCGCTACTCCTCCGATCGTCAAAGAGATTCCTTCCCCACGATCAACAGAAGACAGAAATGAAAGACAAGAATAATACTAATGAGCGTGATAACGAGCAGTTCACGAGCGGATCACGAGCAGATCGCAAGCAGAGCACGAGTCTCTTCCCGAGCTCATTCTGTCAACCGTACTTCCTGGTTTCTCTCGACTCAGAAAAGACAGGACCCCAAATCAACTTCGACGTAACGACATGGCGGAAAAGATGCTGGACTCTAGACGCATCTCAGCAGAAGTGAGTCCTACTAAAGCGCCTCTTCTCGTCGTTAGCAATCAGCGTCTCGTCTGTAATCCTCTGACAGAATGCAACCTCACTTTGCTTTCCGTCGACGGTGGCCACCAAGCCCCGGAAGCTGCACCCCCCGCTCGCGTTCCTGACCGCCAGCCCCGCAATGGGGGTCCGGCACGACCCGTCCAAGGTCGCCAAGAAAGCCCGCTCGCAAGCGACGGCCAGCCGGGTGTCTTCGTGGTTGACAGCAGCCAGGTACTCCTTGTGGAGAGTCAGTGGCGCCCTCGTCTTGCAGCTCGGGGAAGGCCTCTCGTTTCAGGGGGAGCGGGCGCCACGGTTCCTCACTCCCCTTCTCCGAACCGTTCCCCTTGCCCTCCTTTCCTCTGCTCGACGTAAATCAAAACCGTCCGAACCAGGCTCAGCGCTGCCGGACCGGTCGCACGCTTTCGTACCTGTGTCCTTATTCCGATCCTCGCTTTCAGACCGGTCGGAAGCATTCGTGCCACTCTCCAAATCAGCCACCGGACTGCCGTCCAACGCTTTCCCACCTCGCCCCGCTTTCATACTCCACGCGTTTGGTCGGCGCGTTTTCTTCTCGGGCCGTGTTTTCCGAAAGTCAAACTGCAGGAGCTCTTCGGCGCTGCTGCGGCTCCCGTTCAACGAGGCCGGAGACGAGGCCTCCGGGCCGACTGCCGCTGGGGGCCCCGATTGGTTCGCGCTCGCTTCCGGAGAGTCCTTCCGTTCGTTCTGGCCGGACTTCAAAGGAGGCGAGACAGGGCCTTTCGCAGGCGGAGACGCTTCTGCAATGTAACAACAGAAATTTGTCAGCATTGAAAATGGCTAGAACGGATGGGCCCCTGCTTTAATCACGATCGCATCCGGAGACTCCTTCGGTTCGTTCTGGTGGTCTGGATTTCTCAGGAGGCGAGACGAGGCCTTTTGCGAGCGGAGACGCTTCCTGCGCTGCAGTCATTAGAGAATTCCAGCATTGAGAGAGGCTGAAATGGATGGATGGACCCCGTTGTGAGCGCGCTTGCGTCTAGAGACTCTTTTCTGTCGTTTCTGATCGAGGACCGCAGGAGGCGAGACAAGGCATCTCGGGGGCGAGCCAAGTCTCGTAAGTCCCATAAGAACGAACTGAGGCGGAGCCAATCGTGATCCTCCAGTCCTTTCAAACTAGTGGCGAATGCATTGGCTCCCGAGAGGAACACAGCTGTGCAAGAGACACCATATCCACGTGTCCGCACCTCGTCGCTCCCCAGGTCGACGAACTCCGCGGGCCGCTTCTTCTTGACACGTGGCACGAAGCTGAGCTTCCGCTGCTTCGGGTCGTCGTTCTTTGCCAGGCGCGCCTCACTAGCGCGCCGCTTCGTCTGCTCTGACGTCACCTTGGCGTGGCAGGGGACGCACAGCGTGCGCAGGTTCTCTAAGTCGCACTCGCCTGGAAAAGGGGCGAAAGTGATGTCAGGCGAAGTGTTACGTCAGCAAACAGACTGTGACGTCACTTTGGCGTGGCAGGGGAGACCATTGTCAGCCGGATCTTTGCGATGCACTCACATCGGGCCCAGGGCCCGGTATGACGTGGATTGGAGTAGCATTAGCATAAGCACTGATTGTGAGAGTAATCAGGAGACGCTGATACCGCACGCATCTGAAGGATTCAACGGCTAAAAGGACCCAAGAGTCTCGTATCAGAAGAGCAGACACCGCAGTACAGCGGCTTCGGTATAGAGCAGGATAGCGAAACTCATCTGCCACAAAGCGACCAATGAATCACAAATTTCAGACGTTGAAGCTTGATCTTTGGGCATCTTTGCGGGTTAAGGCTGCCGAGCAGTTCGGTCAACGACAAAAGAAATGTCACTCATCTCTGCCAAGATACAACTTTAACTCTGGTCTTTTCCAGTCGAGAAACGGGTCCGTCTAGCACTTGGAAATCAACGTTTCGGCTTGGGTATGAATCTTCAGGGTTCAGAGTCAAGAATACACGATTCAGGGGCTGGAACTAGAGCTTTTGCTTTTTGGGCTAGGGTTTCGGTTTGCGGCTCACCCCCGCCCTCGTAGACGGCAACGATGTGATCCGCGTGCCAGGCGTTGCCCTCGTTAAAGTTGGCCAGCAGATAGTCTAGTTTCTTGGGGTAGTCCAGGAACGCGGGAGCCATCTCGAAAATGGACTTGCGGCGCTGCGCGTCAGACAGGCCCTTCAGAGTGGTCACCTGGGTTGAAATGAAGGGAGCTTTAAGAAACTGTCGAAGAGAAAAGAGCTCAAAAAGAAATGAGGAAAAGCACAACAAACGAGGGAAAGAACGGAGTGTCGAAGAGAAGAACGGTAAATAACAAATGAGGAAGACAGTGGAGGCGGTCCGTCGGACGGGCCATACAAAGATGATCACTTGGAGTTTGACGAAGGGACTGCTAGAGATTGAGAGAAATGCAAAAGAGGTAACGCACGGAAAGCGGAGGGGAAAAGGACCAACGGCCGTGCGATGCTGTGCTTTTAAGAGGCCCTTCGGAGTGGACCCCTGAGTTTTTATGAGGGCAGTGATTGAGAATGAGATGAAAAGAAGACAGGTAATGTAGGAAAAGCGGATAAGAAGAAGGCGCAGCTCGCCAAAGCGTACAAACATTAACACCTGACATTCGACAATCTACACCCCCCCATCCCCACCTAAGACATTATAACCCAAAACCCTCAAGCTTTACCCCCCCGATTCACAACCCCGGAGCTCACCATCTTGTGGCAGTCCAGGTTGCACATGGAGCACACCCCCCGCTCTAGTTCGAACAGCCGCCGCCGGTTGTGGGCGCTGCTCGTGCGAGTCGAGTATTGATCCGCGCAGGTCAGCGTGCAAAAGAGGTCGGCCATTTTCTTGGGGAACTTGGCGAAGCGGCCCCTGCGTTTCAAGAAAAAACCGATCGTTCCGGGTGTTCTTATTGTCAGAAAAGCGTCGACGAGGAGGAATGCGAAGGGTCAGCCGTGAAGAAAAGCTTAGGATTTGTACCAAAACCGTAAGACTACGCTGACTTGACACAGCAACCGCAGCCAAACCGCATAAGAATATTACTTGAATTAGAGACACGAGACGTAAGATAGAGTTCTGTGAGTGTCGGCCTCGTGCACACATACAGGGGCTTCAGCTTTAGGAATGGCTTTGCCGTAAGTGGAGAAACCGGGTATGATGTTTGAGCGGTGCTTTCTGGAGACCGTTAGTGCAAATCTGATTGAACGTTTCGTCCTTGCAGCCTTGACGGTTCTTGTTCTGCACCAAGGTTCTCAAGTGGCACACACGAGTACTTCATCTTTGAGAGAAATGACTCCAATCGAACCCGAGAAAGTCCAACCTGGCCGTCCATGTTTCACAACAGCTGGCAGTACTTTGGGAAGAGTAATTCAAATCGACTGTAAGCAAATATCCAAGCACTTCTACCAGACCCTTCACTCGCTCCTTCTACAATATGCATTTCGGCTTCAAACAAGCTGCCTTTCCCTCACCTGCAGATCTTCTGGCACATCTTGCACAGCGGATTCCCGTCCTCGTCCAACCCCTGGCTGCTCTTCTGCGGCTCCCCGAAGATCGACCTCCACTCCACCCCGCGCACGCTTGCGCCCGCCGGCAGCGGCTCACGAACCTCGTCCCGCGCCGCCACACGATTCTTGCTCCCTCCCAGCCTCAGGCCCTGCAAATGACGTCATGCTGATGTCAGCGACAATCTTCGAGATGCCAAGGAATCATGCGGCTTTTGGGCTGAGATTGCTAGAAATGTGAAGAGCGGAGGGGCCCGCCTCGTCCTGCGCCGCCACGCGCTTCTTGCTCCCGCCGGCCCGCAGGCCCTGCGGATGACGTCACGCTGACGTGAGCGACCATTTTGGATGTCCCTACAGGCATTGAGAAACTCGTCCTCAACCCCTGAATGCTGACGTCACGCCCAGGTCAGCGGCAGTCGTGTATGTTCACCAAATAGTTGGTTTCAGAATCAAGTTTCTTGGATGAGCAGAATGCCAGAGGGCGGCGTCTGGCCTCGTCCGGCACCAAAACTGTGAACGTAAATCCTGAACTAAAAAATGAACACGTCTTACCCCCGTCGCGCGGCCCCCCTAAAATGGTCGAGCTGAAGTTGAAGCGATGCTTTGAGCGGCACCTTCTGAAGTCCGGTCTAAAGGATGCGACCCTGTATATGTCAGCCCTAGAAAAGCTTGGTTGAAAGCTTGAATGCCTCAATCAGAGACTAACCCCCGTCCCATCCCCCCTGACTTTGTCCAGAACCAATTCAAGCGATGTTTTGAGCGCCATTCCCTGGCCCCCTGGAGGCACGATGAGAAACCCAACGGTAAACCCTCCAGCCCAGTAACAAAAGTTCAACACTTTCCTTACACCAGTCACGACATCCTGATTTTGTCCATCTCCAATTCGAGCGGTGCTTTCAGGGGCGGTCTCTGGAGTCGCTTTAAAAAACCTGACCCTAACACTTCCAACGGGAGTCCGAGTCGATTCTGAGTTTGGATTAGATAAAGTCCCCGGGCTCAAACAAACTATCAAACCTAGACCCAGAATTGACATGCTTTGCAACCCCTCCACCCTAAACCCCCAAAACGCCACCCGTCCCCCGGGCATAAACTAATCCAACATAGCCGTAACTCAACATAAACTCGAGGCTACTCAGTCCAGGCTGGCCTGGTTAAGCAAGATCCTGAAATATAGAGATAGTCGCTTCTCACCCCCGTCGCTCCTCCCCGGACTTTCTCAAGCTCCAGCTCAAGCGGTGCTTTGAGGGGCATTCCCTGGAGCGTCGACCGAAGAATCGGACGCAGCTTGGTCCACTCGTCCAGGAACTGGCGGGCGGCGCGCAGGTGGGCGGCGCACGTCAGCAGGAGTTTCGGGAGGGGCCCCTAGTAAGATCTGCAAGGAATAGTCGAGGTTATGGTGAGAGTCAGCAAAGCGCTTCGTACTGACTCGTCGGCAAGGCGCGTTGAGAGCAGTCGTGATCGATGCAGGTCAAAAGAACTGCTGTAACGACGAGTGATTTGCGGGCGGCGCGCCGATGGGCAGGAGTCTGGGAAGGGGCCTTTGGTGCAAATGAACAATTTGCTCTGACTGGTACCCGTTATGATCGGAGAAGCCAATCCAAAAGCTTACGCTTACTAAGTGCTGGTCCGGTCTGAGAAGCACGTATCTTTCAGGCCTTGATATTTATTGAGCTGCGTAGACAAGAGCAAAGAGCTTCCAATCGAGCCTTCTGGAAGGGGTCCGCAAACGAGAAGAGCTGCGCAGGTCAACACAGCCCTTGCAATATCGAAGAATCAAACTTGCAGTTTCCAAAAGATAATGGAACGGGCCGGACGGAGCAATTTCATCTGTATGTCCGAGTTTGAGCTCTCAATAGCATACCAAGGATCTGACAGATTCATCCTCGCTTTCAGGAGCCCAACTGTCGAGCTTCAACGGTCCAACACTTTTAACTCCAGGGTTCTTACTCATACGCATGAACTCTTGAATCTTACAACTAGTAGCGGCCGTACCTGACGTCCTCTTCCGTCTTCAGCTTTGCCAACTCCTCCCTTGGAAAGTTGAGCGCCAGCAACTCCGCGCCCCCTCCTCCAGACGCCCTACTTTTACCCCCCCGGTACAGATGCACTCGCCCCGTGTTTGGACTGATCTCAAACAGCAGCTTTCCCACCGGCACACCCCCATCGTCCTCCCCCCCTTTTTCCACAGCCTTCGCGTCCCCCCCGGCGCGAGTGAAAACGTCGAAGACGGGCCCCTGAGAGGACGCGAAGAGGCTCTTCCGGGCGCGTTTTCCGCCCCGTCTTTCTTCCGGGGGGGTACCGTTGTCAGGGAAGCCGCTCCGCCTGCGGACCCCCGGGGGGGTAAGAATGCGCACCCCGTCTGACGCCCTCTCTTTCCCTTCGGCTGCGTTCCGCATCTCGGTTTCACCGCCGTCTATTCAGCAGCACAGGAAGGGCCTTTGCCGTCCAACGCAGCCCCACTGTTTTTCTCCCAATCCGCCCCCGCCTCTCTATGCGGCTTCGCACTCGTTTCTTCTCTCTCGCTCACAACCTTTCCGTTCCCGCGGGGGTCAATTTCCGCCTCCATTCCAACCCCCGGCTCTTCCACTTTCTCAATTCCGTTATCCGCCCCTTCCTCGCCATCCTTCTTTCCCAGGTCTCCTCCTCCACTCCGGGGGGTCCCATTTCGCATCCAATCCCCACCCCCCCTTCCCACTGCGTCGCGCCCCAGTCCTCGGTTTCCGCGTTTTCCATCCGAAACTTTTGCCCGGACGCTTTGTCCTCAATTGCGTCCACGTGGATCCCCCTAACCGCGTTTTCGGACCCGTTAACCACGGTGGTGACCCGCTCCAACGACTCGCTTAACCGCATCCAGCTGGTTTCGTCGCCTGTGTCCTTGGCGCAGAACAGGTACACGTTGACGGCACTAGACTGGCCCCGCCGGTGAGCACGATCCTTGGCCTGTGTCAACAACGGGTGGAACAAGAATCAATGTCAAGCAAGTTGACTGGCTATGTGAGGCTTTGTCATCTCCCGGATGGACTGAGAGTTCGGGACTGTTTGCAGACCAAGTGCTTGTCTACGGAACTTTGGAGCGCGATCCTCAGCCTGCGTCAGCATAGTTTGGGTCTAGGATCCTCATTTGTATCGGTCTTCGAAATCGATATGAACCTCGATTGACGACTTTATTTATCGTTGTGCTTAAAGGTAAGGAGAACAGACCAAATAGTGTCCTTCTCTTTCATTACTCTGCGTACTTTCATCACGCTTCGGGGGGCTTGGATGTTCCTGGCTTGAACATGCGCGTTTAGAACCCCTTGTTTCGAATCCTGCGCAGTGCGGATCCCGGATTCAATCTACCCCCACCCCGTGCTCACGTGCATGAGGTCAGCAGATGACGTGGGCAGCTCCGCAAAGACGACTGTCTGCGCGGCGCTGAAGTCCAATCCGACGCCGCCAGCTGTCACGCCCACAATGGCTACTCGGATCTCGTCCCGGTGCTTGAAATCCTGGACCGCAGCTTGCCGGTCGCGGCCGAGGGTGCTGCCGTCAAATCTGACGTAATCAACGCCGCAGTCATGCACGTAGCGCTGCAAACAGAAAAGAAAAGTTGTCACCACTTCTTCAAGGTTCAGAGTACGCATCAGCAAAGCTTTCTGGAAAAGGGGGCGCAACGGAAATATCCATGCTCCGATCCTGCATCCCACCTTTCAGACAGCTCTGCTGTCATCGGGACAGTGATTTAACAACTCTAACTTTGATGGGCTCTCGGCATCGGGTTATATCATTGTAATGGTGTCAACACAGGCTCGAAATACGTAGCTCACGTATCAAGGACAACAGCTCAGAGCAATACACCTCTGCAAAGGCTCCGACATGCGCCGAGTCACCAGTGGGGTTCAGCAAACAACAACCAAAAGTGTTTGAGGATGTTTCAAAAGGTAGTCAAGCATCCTTCTCGATCTCCAACTCGAAAGAAGAAAAGATAATCACATCCAACATCAGACAAGACAAATTAGTAAACAGCTGATCAAGAAGGACGTCACGCTCAAATGCAGGTATTTAGGGCCTCGTACCTCGATCCGGTCGAGCAGCTCGATGTGGTGAGCGAAGATGATCATTTTGGGTACGTCTTCTGCCCCTTCCTCTTTCTGGGGGGTAAGACCCACGTTGTTCCCCAGCCACTCCCTCACCCCCCGGAGCTTCGCAAGGCCAATCTGTTGGTAAGTCAGGCCCCCGTCTTCCTTTCCGCTGACGTCTGCAGCGGCATAAGCGGCAAGTGAGCGCTAAGCAGGTAGTGCATGGTATAAAGCAGTCACTAGGCACCATGTTCGGAGCCAAAAGTGAGACCTCTGCCCACCAGAACTTCTTGACGCGCAGTCGAATGAGTTAGTGACCATGCCGAGTGTCTCGGAGAGGTGAACATGAAAAGCCCAAGCTGCCCCCAGAATATTACAAATCACTCTCGAACACTCCGACCGGCCTGAATCATTCCGTTTCACCGCCTCTCCATTTCCCCTCTCCCCGCGTTCCTCCTGTTGCAACACCAGAATGAAGCATAATGATCCTTTTGTCAGTCAAGCTCCCTGCTTGCTTCTTTTCCGCAAGCATCGCAGCTTGTTTTCTGAGCAACTTCCCAAAAGAAGCAGACCACGAATCACCCCCCCAGTAAAAGTGGAAACGGATTTACTCACCCCCCCCCTCCACCAGCCTTCTCAGCACCTCTTCTTCCAACCCCCCCTGCTCGTCCTCTTCCGCCAGCACCAAAGAGAGCTTCGTAAGCAACTCTTCTCCTAAAAGAGGATTCCAAACGTGCCCCCAAGAAACCAAGAACGGAAGGCAGACTTACCCCCCCCCCTCCACCAGCCTTCTCAGCGCCTCTTCTTCCTCGCCCCCCTCCTCGCTCTCTTCTCCCGCCAGCATCTCAGCTTCCATCCTCGCAAACTTCCCCCCCCGCACTTTCCCCGCCGCCGCCAGCTCAGCCGCCAACTGCACGGTCCGTTCCTTGGCGTCCTTGATGTCTCCCGCCTCTAGTTTCAGCCGGATGACCTGGCGCCGCTTCGGGGGGAGCTGATCCAGGACATCCGATTTGAGCCGCCGGACCTGGGGGAAGAGTCCGAAGACTGTCGTTTTTGGCTTCCTCCAACACTCGGTGGTCCAATTCCAGGTTCAAAAGCCTTAAGAAGGATTCTTCCAGGGATTGAGCAACGGACGAACGACGCGATTGGACAAAGGTCGTGAAATGGTGAGATTCCCAATATAGAACCTGGTAGTGGTTGGCAACGTAGATCCTAGCAGTTTCAAAAAGCTGGACGGCTCCGAAAGATGACACTTTGCAACCAAACGACTGGCAATTCAGCAGTTTGGCGACTTGCCAGGTTGAAGTTCTGGGGAGACAATAGCGGGAATTGACTGCAAAAAAACACGAGTGTCTCACCCTCAACACCAAAATGATTCACCGAATCGTTCTATCAATGTTCTATCCATTGATAGAACATTGTGCACAGAAGCGCTTTTAGCTTGAGAATCGCCTTTACTTAAGATTCTGACACTGATTGGATCAAGCAAGCAGAATTTCTCCCCACCATGATCGTCTCCGCAAGTAGCACGTGCAGTTCATGCAGCCTGATTCCTTTGGAGTAGTCCTTGACGACGTTGCCGCACCCGCGCCGCAGCGTGCGCACGTCGCAGTACGCCTTGGCGAACGTGTACTTGTTCCGGCCAAGCAAACCGGTCCACAAACCATCGGCCTGGTGGAAGATGTCGAACGGCCTGCGAGAAAGGAGGATTCCGGGGTTTTTTTCCGGGTTACGGACCCCGTCAAGGCATGAGCAATGAGCCCAACCTTTGGGTTAAGGAGTTACAGTTTCCTTCTACTCAAAGTTTCCTTCTACTCAAAGAAAGCCAGCCCAGCTGATCGTACAAACGGTCCACAAATGATCGGCCTGGTGGAAAATGTCGAATGACCTGCGAGGATGAAACTAACCAATTTCCTTGACCAAACGCCTGTGGGTTAAGTTCTGCTTCTGAAAGTCGCCGCTTTGAAGGCAATCTGAGCAAGGCCGGTCCACAAAGCATCTGCCTGGTAGAAGATGTCGAAAGGCCTGCGGAATTTAGAACTAGGTTATAAGAATGGTTAAGGTTCTCGCAATGTTAAGCAAACATTGCGCTCGCAGTCATATCTGGCGAACAATATTTGTTGCGGCCGAGCAGACCGGTTCACAAACCATCGGCCTGGTGGAAAATGTCAGTCGGCCTGCAAGAGAGGAAAGATTTAGGCATGTTGGGTTAGGTACGTGAAAAGGGTTGACGCTCGAAGATAACAAGCAGAATACCGAACGGGACTGTTGTTCACGGGTCGTCCACCTCGATGAAGGTGTCACCCGGCCTGTAAGCCAATGCTAGGTTAGCGAAATGGGTTAAGGCTCTGGCTACTTTCGGAAGCTTGTCGGTTTGGAAGAAAAGCAAAGTGTATCGAGCAGAGCCAACCAACACGTGGTTTTCCCTGTTGGACTTTTTGGAACGGCCTTTCTACAAGCACAGGCGGGGAGACAGGCGCAAATCGAGAGGCTTCGAGATTTTGGAAACTCAAGAAGATGCCGGTCGAAGCTGCTGTGTTCCGCAATTTCAGCGATTCCTGGACATTGGGTTGGATGGAGACTGCTCAAACGCGGAGCTGACTTTTTGGTCAGCCAAAGCAAGGACCGAATCGAGAAGGAAGGCAAGACCCAAAACAGACAGCGATACAAAAGCAAAGACTAGGCTTTTTAAATCTCTAAACAAAAGGACGGAAAGGATTTTTCGTCCAGCAATCCGACTCTCAAAAAGCAGGAAAGCAGGGGAAGGCGACTGTTTGTCGAAGCGAATGGATCCGACGAACCTGCTAAGCGACGGCGTTCCGTATAGCAGGATTGCTCGCTTCGTCTTTTGCAGGAACTCCTTGACCGTTTCTTTCTCCTCCGTCTCTTTGAGGTTCTTGGTCGTACGCAGGTTGTGACTCTCGTCCACGATAAGCACGCCCCACTTATGGGCGGCGAACGTCCGCTTCAGGCGGCGCAGCATCGTATACGAGATGACAACAACCTGGGGTAGGATGTAAAGAGAGTAGCGTCAGAAAAGGGAAGGTTAGCTGTGGGATGAAGAGCCGTGCGATCCTAGGGCCGCAAGATCGATTCGCTGTGTGCTAATGAAAACGGCCTCAAACTCCAAACGCCTGCCCAAGTAGACGCAAGGGTCTCTGAACACATCCGTTTACAAGGCCTTCGCGAACGGATTGAGAGCAGAACGGGGCAAGAGAAGGAGAATGAGCAGGAAAGAAAGCAGAGCAGGCGTCGTTTCTAACGTGAAATCACGCCCGACGTATGCAAGCCGTTTGCAATTAAGAAAGGGCTTGGGAAATTTGACGAAGAGCCTCTAACGTTGTCGAGTAAACCTCGGAACGCACCTATCTTGACACTTTCTGGTTGCGCAACTCCGTCAAGGCTGACGTGATTATATCAGGCGAGAGAATTGACTCTTCTATCTAGCCGAAAGATTACTCTCTATGCCGCACCTTACGCAGCTTCGACCCAAAAATGGGGCATTTCGAAGGAGAAAGCGCGATTCCCTAGAATGAACGTTTGCAGTCAAGAGTTGATTGAGGATAGCAACAAACCCAGGCCTTTTGATAACAACGAGCGAGGTAACTTCACTGGCGATCCAGGAATGAGTTGTACATAAGGAGTCAGTGCGCTCCGCAAAAACCTACGACCTGAAGTGCGGTACAGTACGGAATCTCAATGACAACTCTGGCTTTGAGCAATTCGGCTTACCTTCGGGCACGGCGCCCCTTCTTGCAGATCGTTCTGGAAGGAGAACACGAGGTGCACGTCCCTTGGGCCCAGGAAAGGAAGCCACCGCTCTAGTTCTTCCGCCCAGGGCAGCCGCATGCTGGCAGGAACGACAACTAGGAGCGGCCACTCGGCGCGGTAACAGCTGGCGATAGTGATTCCCTGGGGAGTGATATCATCAACTCGGTTGGCGACTCGAGAGTCAAGAATAGCAGGATGAATTCCGAGTGCTTCAGGCAATTGGCTGGGAAGCTTCCTTACCTGCGGCCCTGAACAAGTGGTAAGTGTGCAGCGTTATGAAGTGGTTGGAGGCGCAGATGCAGATTTAGTTGGCTTCCCGGATTCGGACAAGCTCGGTTGCGCTACCCAAAGATTCTGATCTGAAAATGGTTTGCGAGAGCACTCGTGGGCTGGTCTGGTTGGACGTCACGGCTTTTGACAGAATTCAAAACTCAATTTGTGCATACACCAATCAGGTCCTGCCGCAAAACACAGCAACTGCGCCGAAAGTACGGCAGTCGTTTTTTGAAACATTCGAACCGGAGAGACTATCTGCACCAAGTTTGGAGCGGCTCAAAACGAAAATCCAGAGGACGACTCAGATCCGCAAAAGCTGCAACTGAAAAGCAATGATGTTCAGCAGATCATCTTTGCACAATCCAGCGGTTACCAACAGCCGCAGTAAGGTCCATATTCTCCCCCACCTGTATTGTCTTCCACACCCCCATTTCGTCTGCTATCAGGCAGCGCCCCCCCCTGCGCAGGCTGTACCGCACCCCCTCCCGCTGGAACGGCAGCAGCGTCTTTCGCAGCCCCGACGGAAGGCCCTGTTCCATCAGGGCGTCCACTTCGTCGTTCACAATGTGCCAGCTTTTGAGCGGCCGCCAGGAGCTGTCACAGGGCCTCTTGATTGGCGGGGGTGGGGACTGGGCTTCGGAGGGATCCCCCGGCAGCAAATCCCCTTTCGTGATCTCTTCTTTGGCACTGCTCGACCCGGTTTTAGCGTTTTCGGCAGGGCCCCATCTGGCGTGCAGCGCCCGCAGTGTAGTTCCGGAATGCCTGCGGCTTTTGCTTCTGGGACCTTTGACAAGGCCCTCAGAACGGCGTCGTAAGCGATAATTGGTAGAACGAGAAAACCCCCGCTGTCTAGAGTCTCATCAGATACCCACTTCTGTGGAACCACCCCTGGGCACGCTCGCTCGAGCACGGACCTGGTTCTCTGCTCCGGATTCTCAAACGGATCTGGTGCGAATACACTCCCAGAGGGAGGTTCGCAGAACGCATAGTGGACCGAGACCCTGAAAAGGTCGACCGTGTGGAGCTCGAGGGAAACTTCTAGAGGTCTTCGAATGACCCCAGGGTCCTGAGGCACGATGGGAATGTTAAGAGGTTCTGGGGGTTGCTGGAAGGGCTGTAGGAACTGCGTCAGGCTGGTGTGAAGAGGCGCCGTTGCAGAACGCCGGTAACACTCCCTGGTGAGAATGCCCCCCAGGCTGCACAACGATTGACGCACCCCCCCTCGCGGCTGAGTTTATGAAGACCCCCTCAGAGGGTATGTTGGCACTGGCGGGCGCAGTCAGACCAGAGAGACTATTCACTCGGAGGGGCCTATTCACATCAGAAGAATCCGCTGCAGTTTGCCCCTCGCCCCCAGAGTTCCTCCCCTGACCCTCATCAACATCGTCCCAGAAGTCTTCTGGCACCTCGAACTCGGGACTGTCGCTCAACTTCTCGCTGCCAACCTCGGGCTTAAATCCATTGCGCAGCTCAGTCTTGCTCGCGTCCACCTCTTCTATGTTCACCTCTTGCCCCCCATATTCCGCCGCCTTCGCTGTTCCCCCGATCCGATGACACGCCTGTAGCGAGGGCAAGTCACAATGGGTATCTGAGCACTTTGGCAAGGAGCCGGCAGCAGACGAGCTGGCGACACCTGGCAATCCCTCATTTGCTGCTGACACGTGAGAAGGACCGGACGCAACGCTCTCCTTCCCGGGCTGACAGCTGGCACGCTCTCGTGCATCGCCCGTTCCTCCAAAGCCCCCAGACGGGCCCCAAAGTGGGCCACATTGGCATGGGAAGGCAGGGCCGTCGACCCTGGGAGATGCATTTGAGGGAAGGGAACCTCTGAAAGGGGGGGCTGGAGGTGTGGGGGCACCTGGGCAGGGGGGTAAACCTGACAAGGAACTGACTGCTGAAATGGGGGGATGAGCATCCCTGGGGACGTGTGTGCTGCCTGGTACCACGTCGCTGCATTTCGCCTCCGCAGCGCAGCAATTCGATTCGCCTCGATCCGGCTGCGCTGCTCCTCTGAGAGTGCGACGCCATCACTGTTTACAGGAGGGATGGGAGGGGCCACATCTGAGTACGGCTGCTGCTCTCTCAGATTGTGCCCCCTATTCTGAGGAGTGTGCTTGTCAATTACAGAGTGGGCGGGTGGGAGGTCGGCACCAGAAGGTCCAGTGCTTGCTAACAAACTTGAGACGACCGGCGCCACATGCAAAGGACTTCAAACTGTTCGTTGGACAGCTGGCGAAGCTTGATTCGAGTGGCCCAGCTCTTCTTCCCCTCCCCCCGCCACAGGCTCACTTGCTCCCCCACCCCCACCATGTACACCCACAATTTGCGGTGGGGGGCTGACACCACTTTGATGCCGGTCCGCTTTCACGAGGATTGCCTTGAGCGATGCCTTCTCACCCGACGATTTCCGGCGACCGGTGCTTTGTGAAGCGATCGGCGGGAGGAGCGGAGCGTCCCAGTCCTCAATCTGGTCTGGCAGGCCCTCCCACCAGGCGTCTTCCTCAGCGGTTGCCATGTCGGCTCCCAGCTTTTGATGTTTGTTGCAACCTACAGAACATTTGCATTGCTCATCTTGAAGAAGGAATGCGAAAAGCTGGCAGGCCTCCCTAGTCCCACATGCTGAATTGCATGAAAAGACTGCATCAGAAACCACCACATGTGGATCAGGATGGCGCCAATTTGCTGCTTGTGTTGAAGTCATCAGTGCAACACAGTGACAAATGCGAATTGGCTGAAGACAAGTCTCTAGCTTTTGAGAAGGAGGCTTTCTCAATCGTTGATAGTCTGAGCATTACTGGCTGGACGGTGAAGATGAAGCACGACAAGTTGTTGTGTTTCCTAAGGACCGTCGATGAAGGAGAATAGTTGGTTAGACGGCTCACTTCCGCCCCAACATTTAAGTGTTGGCTATTACTATTAGGCAAGTTACCACCGGGCCTGTGCTGTTCTGCCTTTGCCCCTTCAAATTCAAGTTGTCTTTGAAGCAATGGCGCCGGCTGTGCGCTGAGGCGGTGTGGTTGTGTAACTGACAGTGTACTCTTAGGGGCTGCGCGGCTTTCTGGTAGGGCCTGCGTTCAGCTTGTATTGGTTTCTTTCTTCAGCAAAGGTCTGTGCGTCCAACGAGAGCCTGGACTGCAAATAGCTGGTTTGCCAAGCAGCATCCACATTGCGCGGCCCAGTCAGCTCTTTACAAGATGTGACGCCCTGCTTGGCCCGTCTCTTCGAACGGCTTTGTGGCATTGGACTCTTGTTGACAGGTGTCCATTAGCAATCTGTTCTGCTTGGCAAGAGATGAGGCTTTGCTGCAGAGGGAGGACCAAGCTTGTGCTGCTGGTTCAACCAAAGCATGCTCGGGTTTCCTCAGTGTGCCCCCAAGAATTCGGGTGTCTGTTGGGGGCAAGACCTTGGGGGCGCCGGAGATGTTCACGGGCTCTGAGACAGCCACTTCCTTGGTAAACCCTTGTAGTCATTGATTGGGAAACGTAGACTACTGACAGCTTGCATGCGCTGCGCTGGCCCTCCGCCCTTACCCTACACTTTCAAATTCATTGGCCGAGTCCTGAGCATAGTTGCTAGCATCAGCTAGAAAAGCCCTGATTTACAACTCCAGATTGAGATTCTTGTAACCCCCCCCCCCCCTCCTTAGGGCTATGTCCCCTTTGAAGGCCTCCCCGTTGCGCTCACGCTTCGGCAGGAGTGCCAGCCTGCCCTCTACTATTCTCTTTAGTGACAGCCCCCCCCCAAAAGAAGAGCGCCTCAAGCCATCGCCGTCGGCAGACTGGGAGGAGGCCGCCCGCGACCAACTCGAGATTCAGGCCCTCGCTTCCTCTATGCTGCAAGCTGCAGCAACCGGCTGTTTCTACATAACTCCCACTCCTGTGATTTTCAAATCCCCTCTGCTGAGCGATGGGCAAAGCCCCCCAAGCCCAGATTCTCCGCTGCCCCCATACTGGAATAGGGGGGTGAATGCGTACGCAGATGGCCCAGACCGAAGGGGGGGTGCGAGCCCGTCGGCGCAGGTTCCGAAGGATGAGCTGGTTCCGGGGGGCCAATACGGCGTTACATGGTGGGACAGCCGCAATGCGGAGGCGCTCGTGCGGGGCCGCGTGGAAAAGTTCCTCTGTCTAGATCCTCTAGCCTTAGCCAATCAGCTAAGGGAGCTTTCCTCGACGGAACCCACGTTCATCGAGGGGGGGCCGCATCACCTTACCAATATAGTCGACGTGTTTTGGACCATGGCGTGTAATGCGGGGGCGCGGGGCACCGTTCTTCCGCCTCCTGAGGGGGGAGGATACTGCGGCATGTGCTTTGATGAGATGGGACGGAACAGCTGTTACAACCCGTTCCACACGCGGGGGGTTCCGGACTGGTGGCAGGAACTGCAGGAGTATTGGGACGAGGTACTCGAGAAAGCGCGGGAGGATGGGCGCAATGTGGACTGCATGTTCTTTTGTGGGAAGATGGGGTGCTTGAACCCAATTGCGTGCACGTTCAGGTGAGCTTGTTGGGGCGTGATTTGGAGGAGGCTTGGCTTGCGAATGCTGTCGGTCGTTAATTTGTTGGTCTTTTATTTGACAGGACAAGGGTCGCCAGAAACTGGGTTTGATGCGCTTTTGACAGCAGTGTCAAAACACGAGTCGTCCTGCTTCCTCGAGTCTGTTCTTCAAGAATCTCACTCTTTCCGCGTTGCTCCTGGGTCGATGGTTTGTTGAAGTATCTGCTCTCAACCGTGCATCAGTCAGGCAACAATTGGTGGGCAGCGCAGTAAAGATTATCGTCCTGGAGTTGTTTGTTGAGCAAACAAGACAGGACCGAAGATGGGGGCGCTCATAGGACAGGCTGAAGTTACCGAAGTACCAGGGAACTTGCTCACTGCTTTGCTACCGGTTGTCGGTGTTCTGCTTTCAAAGTGGTCAATTTAAAGTTTTCCTTTCTCCTTTTCTGTGGGGGCAACCCACTCAAATAGTCATCGCTTTTTGTGCCAAGGCGTCCTTGCTTGTCGTTTTCATGGAGAGGTAACCAACGATCCGCCTTTAAACGGAAACCTTAATTTTGAGGTTCAACATGCAGCCCTCGTTTTTCCAGCAGCAACAGGCGTTTTCTAAGTATTCTGAATTTTCTCTCACTGCACGGAAGGCGTGTCATATCGGAACCCAGAAACGATTCCAAAAGGAAACGATGTGAAGTCTCTCCTGACGCGGTATTCTGCTCGTGTCAGGCACGACGAACAAGCGCGGCGCAAGATCTGTCAGGAAACGGGCAAGATACGACGGCGCGCCACCTTCGGATCCACGTGGATGGGCGAATTGGGCTTGCCAGGGATGTTCTAGCGAAATGTATCTTAGTGTCACTTTCTTTGGCTGGAATTTCTTTGGCGATATGGAACAATGGAGGCTCCTGGAGGGTTTGTAAACCGGGCCCAAGCGAGCTTAGCTGCCGCGGCACGTTGAGTTTGCTTTTATTTATGGTTAGCGAACGCGTAGATTTGAGCGAATTCACGAACGGGTTACTTGGACGCCCCGCTTGCTTTACCATCTGCAGACTTGAGTTGCCGTTATAGAAAGGTTTACTTGAGTTGCTGCAAATACTGGTCGTCGTTGAAAGGCGAGACAATGGTGAGTAGGGGTTTGAGCCAAGATACAATCACTAGCAAGCGCGCCGAGCAGACTTGGAGGACGAAGAGTTACTTGGGGTTATCAAAATCTAGCTGTTTGAGTGGATGGAACGTGCATTTGATGTGAACTTGAGGCTGTACATGCATTCTTGCTGAAGATGCTTAGTACAGTGTCGCATCTGCAGGCAGGGCTCAGCTGCAGCGCTAGTTCAATGATGACTTGGGCCCCGAAGTTTTGTACCTAGCTGACGCTCGCAACGTCTGGACCGTTATAAAGCTAATAAAACAATTGAATATCAGGGTATAACACTGCAGACTGAAACCCGCAACTTAGTGAACCAATTGGTTCACTAGGAAATGCACAAGTTTGAAAGCTGCATTTGCTTGCTATATGCGAGCTTAGTACGGTACATATGATCAAAAGGTTTAGGGTACCAGATTTTGGAATGGTCGAAACGTATGTATGCGTAATCTGGTCGAATCCGAGTTCGTCGCTCTTGCAATGGACGTATGTTTCTCGAACCGGTGCGTTTATTCTGCATATGGTTCGTTTGTCACCGGGAGCGGTAAGCCTGTGCATCCATCTTGCATAAGGAGGATTGAATAAAGGCGAAGTTCGAATGACTTGTATAGATGTATTTCTTTTCCAGCTAGCTATAACCGGATGCATATTGCATTCACAATGATTACCTGTGCATGTTGCTCCTCTATTCCAAGACTCGTGTGCACGTTTGGTCTTTATTCGTCTGGTCGGTTTGGGCTCGGAATGTCTCGAATGATGGTTCATGGTATAGGATTTTGAGCACGGTATCTGAATCGTCCAGCATCTCAGGCTTTTATCTGCAATTGGTTAGCCTGGGGTTTGCTCTGGTTGCATCTCGTTTTTCATTTGCATGCAGAATTGTGCGACGATAAGACATGCTTGATAAGCCGTTATTATGCAGGATCATTGCATTTGTCGCTGTAGTGTAGATCGTGTACAAGAGGGAGGAACGATAACAGGACAGCATTTAGCCAGCCAGTCTCACTTTGCAAGGCTTGAAAGAGCTGATCTCATCTCAGAAATGTTCAATCAAGGCTGAACTTACGGTGTATCTACAAGTTCTGATTGCTTCTTCTGCTACTCGAAGATTGCTGATGAATAGAATGCACCTAGTTGAGTGCTGTCCTCGGCACTGCATCGCATAATCTTGCTGAGTCACTACCCCTGCTGTCAGCCATCAGTCTGCACAAAACAAACTATCTGTTTGAGTGCAGGTTACATTTGAGCGACTATTCCAGCTCCTGTTTGCTGCAAAAGACCACAGCGGCTTCCTGTTCTTTGAGGAGGGGCAGCAGTTCTTTGAGACGCTGTACAACTACAAGAAAGGCAACAGCGACAGGATCCGAGCATTACAATTGAAAGGAGGCAGCCAATGGACTCGCGAATTGGTTGGCGACCAGGAAGAAAGATCCTGCCCCTTCACGCACGTTCCCATTACCGGTTATACCCAGCCGGAACCGTTGATGAGGGAGGTGTCAAAGACACCAAACGACGGTCTCCTAAACCGGTGGACTACAGTGTTTCCGGAGCCTGTGTTTCCTGCATTCGGTGAGCGTTGTAATTTGCGACACTGACTCACCTGTACAGAAGGTTGAAGGTGGACAGGAGGAATCCCCGTTGTGAACGAGTGTTGATGTCTCGACAGTCTGCTCCCGAGCTTCCTGCAGAGAGGAAGCTTTCTAATTCAGTGCAAAATCTTGCAGAGGACTTGGACATCTCCGCGGATTTCAACCTGGTGGCCGAGGACGACGAGAAAGTCCAGACGGTATGACACACGTCTGCTCCTTTTATGCTAGATGTCGCCATTCTGTTGATCAACGCTGATCTGCAACGTTGTAGCTTGAACGTTTGTCGATCTCGTGTGCGCTCGTCTGCACTACTGTGCGTTCGTTCCCTGATGTTAATGGCTATCTCTTTTCTCGGACGCAGTGGTTCTTCCGAATCTGGCAGCTGACGCACGACACGTTTGGAGGGGTCGTCAGAAGAGAATGGATTCTTTGCGGGCGTGCAAAAGAAGTCTACGCAGAAGGCTTCAACAACATCCAGGCGGTCTTGCGAAAGCTATACGACAAGAACCAGCTCCACAAGGCGGGTAAGTTTCACAGCTGCTTACACTGGTCGACTGAAGATGGCATGAGATTGAGCGAGGGGAGAAACGCATTTCCGTTTGTGGCCCTGAATTTCATTGGATGCAATCACTAATGTGTGATACCGTGTCCCAGGTCTCATTGCAAAGACGAAGGGGGAGGCGCTTCAAACTGCTGCGATTTTCCACGTCCTGGAACTCGTGTCTGACCCGACTTACCCGGAGAACCTGGTCTTCCCCGACGCAGTGCTCGAAGTCAGTGAAGACAGCGTTCGCTATGCTTGGAACTACGTCAATCTGACCACGAAGCAACGAGTGTATTTTGAGAACGACAGCGCGGTAACGAAAGTCTGCTCAGAGGTACTGAAATGGGACCTTCCAGGAACGAAGGATGATGACGCTGACGACTCAGACTCGGAGGCTTCCGACGACGATGGGTCGCGTTATCTGGTGAGTTTGATATCATTGTAGAGAAAGACAGTATGGGGCTTATCGGAGATCATACGGAGTTCGCTGTGTATGTCGGAGCTTCTTGTTGTAGCAGCCGTGCTTTTGAGATCCTGATGGAACGTCCTGGTTGCAGGGCGTCATGGACAAGCAACTGAGACGAGTGTTCCTGGACTTCCGTGAAGAAACGATCGGGAGGACAGAAGTAGGGAAGACGCGCAAATTTGGGAACGTGCCTGACATCGACGAGTTGTTCGCATACGCATCCTCTGCTGAAAACGACGGATAGCACTGCTTTGGATACGTGAACGACAAAGAGAAGAAGCCCCCGTGCAAGATTTCTCATCCCGTTTTCCACAAGAATCGCCCGGATACTGAGGCAGAGTACGTGGCACTGACGAACAAGTTGTCGCGACTGCGCATGACAATTCAACAGTTTCTTCCCGAGTATTACCACAAGCGCCCGGCGGGGCAGTCAGCAAGGTACGTTTCCAAAAGGCCGACCAGACAAAAGCCTGTGTAGAGACTCTGGTTTTTGATGCAGCTGTGGTTCCAGTTTCCTCTTGATGTCACAACTTTGCCAAACGTCTGCGCGTGCCTTCGCCTTCCCTGAATAGAATGTTTCTATGTATGCAGGGAGGGGATCCCTGGGGGCCCGTCAGGATCGCGAGGTGTCGTAAACCCGTCAGAACTCGGCAGGGAGATGGACATGGACTAGGATCCGTCTCACCTGTCGTAGCAGGGCTGCCGTGACTGACGTCGGTGTGGACCTGGCGCGTGCAGCTTCAATTGCCCTGATCTTGGCTTCTAGGAGTCCATCTCGGCGAATATGGTCTAGTTTTGTCACAACTAGAAGAAGAAACTTGAAACGGTGCTCATTCATGTACCTGCACCACGTGAAGTAGTTTGCTTTAGGGAGAGCTCGGACATCGCGCCACTTGAGGCGTAAGTCCCAGGATGTCGTAATACCTGAGCGAGCCTCTGTCTAAGCAACATTGCGCAACAGCCAATCATGAACGAAACTTGCTGATGTTGACGCATGGCTTGTGCACGCATGGTGCTGACGCATGTATCCTTACCCAGTCGCCTTCGCGTTCGTGCAAGAATACTTCGAGATGGTATAGCACACAATCTGCGCCCAGCAAACTGCTCGCATGCTTTCTGGTGCAGCTGTCCAGACCAGTGTCTTACCTCATCGTCTTCTTAAACCCGCCGAACCACTTAAAGGGCTGCTCGCAAACCGACATGTTTGCGTTCTCCGGTTCCTCGTGCTTGTACGGATTTGTGTTTTCAGCATACTATCTCCCGACATGGTTTTTCTTGAAGTGAAACTTGTCGACTGCGGGACAGATTGAGGGTAGGTTCAGTGAGAACGTATGGCCCGTTGTTCTGCATGCCATGCTAGGGGCACCAAAAGCAGAGAGGTTGGAAAGCTGGAGAAGGGCGACAAACCCCCCACAGGAGCTGCAGGAAATGGCTGTCGCAGACACTGGCTGTTATTGGTCGGAGACTAGGCGTGCCAGCAGCGTGTTAGGGTCCGCGCTACATTGGAACTAGGTGTACTCGCAGAATGACAACCGTAAAGTCACAGATCAGTGTCGTTGTTCAACTTCTGTTGGTTCACTCACCGACTTTGGTGACGTTCTGGACGAACTCCCTTGTTTTTGCGCAAAGCGTCGGTCGGTCACCACTGGCTGCGAAACGTGCCCAGTGGCACATGTCGTCCATCCCGACAAAGCGTGGCATCTTTGCGAACGCAAACAGCTGTAGGAAGTAATGATGCACCTGCAAAAGTAATATGGACGCAATAAACTCGTGGTTTTGTTTGCGTGCTGCCTTTTTCGCTTGTGCTACAAACTGTCTGCGGACTGGATCAAAAGAGGACCATTTCGTTCGCTGTCTATCAACAAGAAAGTGCATTGCCACCTTCCCTCCCCACCCCCCACCCCACACTCCTTTCATTGGGCCCTGGCAAGTCATTCAAGTGGTTCGCGGACCATCTGAAGCCGCGTCGTGTTGGTCAACAGTTTATGATTGCAAGACCTGCCCAAACCCCGTGCATATGAGATCCTAGGTGGATATATAAAAGATGACTAGAGAGGTAGCTGCTCACCATTGTCGTCGATTCTGACAAGATGAGCTCCAATGGAGGGAACATGTATCCGCACACCCAGAAAGCCACCACCGTACCAGCCGTAACCCCGCGCCCGTCAGACGCTGTACGGGGGGTGCATGCTACCGCCTTCTTCGACTTTGTCGGCGCGCTGCCTGTGGCGTCGTCCACTGGAGCGGGGTCAGGTTCCAGGTCCTTGCGGTCCCTCGTGTAGAAATCACCTGCGGTGTCGAGTTATGTGAGGCGGGAGGTGCGGGGGGTAAAAGGGAAGTAAGCGCACAGTTGGATTAGATTCTGTGGTGGTCTTGCGCATAATTCAGGTGCTGAACTGGCGGATATTTCAGTTGGAGTTGGAAAGTCTGTGGATCTCTCCGAGAAAGGGGTTAGGCGAAGGACGGGCTTCCAAAGCCAAGGAGCCGTGCTTCCGATGAGAAGAAGAATGTGCTTATGGAGCGGAGGCTATGTAAGTTGCGCTTACGCAGCAACTGCAACGCAGCAGGAGCTTGAAGAGTAGTCGGTCAGTCCCTTGTTTTGATCAAAATGCAGCTATTGGATGATCGTAATTACGTTGGAACATTCGCGGACGTTGCTTACCTTGGGGCTGCGAATTCAAGTATTCATCGAGGACGTCTCTCGTAACCGCAGTTAAGTTTTCTTCGGTTTCCCAAGTGTTCTCCGTAGAAGGGTAGCCCTTCCATTTGACGAGGTAGATGGGTACCTGAAGAAAATCTCACGTCAGCGTTGATGACGAACTACACTGTGCGCAAAGATACATGTGTCAGCGGTAGAGAGATACCTCAAACAGGCTTGCTTGTCAAAGTATATGCCAGGCTACAACATCCGTGAATCAGCGTGCTGCAAATTGTTCTACAGTCCTGGGATAGGTCACAGATCAGCTCAGGAAGCTCCAGGGTGGCGTCGCTGGTTCAGCTGGCACGCAGTTTTTTGTGAAGATAAGAATGGGAAGGAAAGACAAACGCCCTGTCCATGCAACCAGTTACAGTAAGCAAAGCTCACCCCGTTCTTGATGCGGTGCATCTCGATGCGCTCCACCTCGTAGATGTCATCTTGCTGCAAGACTCGCTGCTTTCCACGCGTGCGGAGTGCCACCGGCGCCGTCTCTGTGTCCCACGCCTGCCCTGCTGGTGCTGCGCGTGCAGCACTGACAGTTTCTTTCTGGCGCTGCTCTGGCTGCGTCTCTTCTAAGTCTAGCTCATCAGGCTCGTCATCGCTGTCGGTCATCAGATTTATCTCAGCCCCGGTGCTCTCAGCCTCTCCCTCCGCCGCATCGGACGCGCCTGCGCTGTTTGGCTCAGCTAGGTGGACTGCTGCTAGGTGCGCTTGACACAGCTTCTTCCCTTTGACCGGCGTGCTAGGACAGCCTTTGACAACCCTGCCAATGGCAGTGGTGAACTGCTCAACGTCCTTCTGCCGACAGCAGTCCCTAAACACCTTTGCATTGCCGTCTAGATGATCGTACTGGCCGCAGAGCGGATCCTTACACTGCTTGCTGTGTGCGAGGGCCTCGTCTCTCAGCTGGCACCAGATCGGGTCATTGAGGAGACTAAGGATGCGGTCAACGGGCCAGCGAAGATCAATTTCATCTAGCAGGGAAGGGCAACCGTCTTGACAGAACCTGATTGCCCAGTACTGGAGGTAAGTTCTTTCGAAAATCTCCCTGTGCAGGCTGCCCCTCAGAGAACGGCGCCAACGCATTGTCTCGAGTGCAGCTTCAGGAGCCTCTGAGAAACGATCGAGGCCCCACAGGTCATTGTGCGCCCTGACTGCGCCGGCGAACGTGACGTGGTTGTGGTACCTGTTGAAAGGGGGTTGTGGGCTTGAGCACATTGAGATGTAATACAAGTGTCAAGGAGGAAGGACGAGGCAGAATTTCTAATCCATATATGCGCCCAGCGCACGTGCGCTGGTTTCAAGTGCAGGCAAGTCTTGCAGCTACATAATGAGGTGCACTGCAAAAGGGGACCCAGGAACCTCAGGAGACTTGCAGCAGGACCGTGGAAACTCACAGGTTCTGGTCGTGTGCTCGCATAAGCCCTTTGCTGATCGACGTTTCGCCTGACACTTGGATCCACCGCTCATGGTCGGCTGATGCTGGGTATGGTCGTCGGACACCGGAAGCCTGTAATGTGTAGAAGCCCACAGAGAACAGAATCCCACAGTCTTTGCACACCTTGTCATGCACGATTCCACGCGCTGGTTTCCCGGACTCAGGAAAGATGAATGGCCTCTGTGGGCTGTCAGCCCAGCGCAGCTGTGTGTTGCATCTCAGACAGACATTTGTGCGGGGAATTGCGACGTGCAGGCTGTCTGCCTCTGCTGCGAGTTGTTGTATACACGGACGCTTTAAGCACGCAGCAGCGTCTAGGGCAGACGGTCCTTCTAGCGTCTTGAGCTTCTGGATTATATTGAACACTGCCACATGGCCCACTTGCTCGGAGGGAGGGAGTGCCCTATTTATAACTGATGCGATGACGTGGGGCCGTTCCGGAAAGGACGCCGGGTACAGCTTCATGCTGTCCAATAAAAGGGCGAAGCCCAGCAGAGTCAGTGGTGCTGCAAGGGAATCAATGGAGACTGAGTCCTGCGCTATCGCTTTATCAGCGGATCGCTGCTTCTTGCTCGGATTCATACTGTGACTCTGGTTCTAAACCTGGGCCGCTGCTCCAGCAGCTATGAAGCAATGTCATGTACGTCCTGGGGACCCCGCGCGCCCCCCCCCCCCTTGCTGGACTTCGTCACTGTACGACCTGGTATTCGACAGCCAGCATTTCTCCCGTTCACCCTCGGAAGAGGTGAACCATCTTTGATGTGCCAGAAAATGCTGAATCAACCATCCTAGCCCCTCCGTTGCCTTTCCTCCTGATATCGAGCGAAAGAAGCGAGGAGGAGGAAGTGCCCAAATCCTGCTAGCAGTGTCTGCTCCAAGTTGAAGAAGCCCACGTTGCAAAACCGGGTTTCCGCGGTTTTGGTTCCCTCCGAAATTTCAGCGAGAGAAGGGAGAAAGAGGAAGGGCCGAAACCCGGGTAGTATGCCCCTGGAGGAAACTTGCAAAAAATTTCTAAGTCACAAAACCGGGTTTCCGCGGTTTCGGTTCCCTCCGAAATTTCGGCGAGAGAAGGGAGGAAGAGGAAGGCCGAAATCGGGGTCGTATGCCCCTGGAAGAAACTTGCAAAAAATTTCTAAGTCACAAAACCGGGTTTCCGCGGTTTCGGTTCCCTCCTTATATTCCGCGGAGTAAATGGAGGAAGAGGAAGGCCGAAATCGGGGTAGTATACCCCTGAGAGAAACTTGCAAAAAAAATCTAAGTCACAAAACCGGGACTCCTCCGTTTCGGTTCCCTCCTTATATTCCGCGGAGTAAAGGGAGGAAGAGGAAGGCCGAAATCGGGGTAGTATACCCCTGAGAGAAAAGGGAGGAAGACGAAACAACCGTAAACCGTGTAATATATGTAATACTGTTCCCTCCTTATATTCCGCGGAATAAAGGGAGGTAAAATTCGGACAAATATGGGTATACCGTAGTTTCTAACGGCCCATTACGACTTACTCGGCACGAAAGCTGGTCGAAGTCGAAGATAGAGTGGGGCATGTGTATCCATACCATCTCAATAACGTGGAGCTTTTGCTGAAGAAAAGTCAGGTAGACGAGGACATGCTGGGCGGCAGGGGTTCTTAGGGAACTGAGAAGTTGGAAGAGAAGTGGAGCATAGGGTGAAAGGCCCGCAAGTTTGTAGATATTGGGGACCAATAGTTTTAAGGGGGGAAGATTCATAGCTGTGGCGCTCAGGCATCCCTCAGGCATGGAACCATTCCAAGACATGCTATGAGATTGCATGCACGAGGAGCGTGATCCTCGCAGGATTTTTAGGGATATTCATATATGCAGAGGGTGGTTCATAGGCTATGGAGCTTTGGAAGCTTCCAGAAGGCCGTTTCAGACCATTAAGATGCAGACTGGTGACGTAACAGGGACGTTACGGGGTGTCGCGACCTACTTCGACGGGAAGAAAGCCGAAGATCGAAGACGAAGACCTAGAATAATCATCAGAAATAGGTAGATAAATATAGGCTGCAGATAGCATCAGGATCGGCT